TGCTGAATTCAAAGCCCCCTCCTTCTCCTTTTCAGCCGCCGTCCCTCCAAAACACACACACCAACAGCATCTGAATCTGCAGGAAGTGCTGGGCCCCTGTCTTCTGTACACACACACACACACACACACACACACACACGAGAGCAACACATCTGATCAATTTGCTCTCTGATTAACTGGTGACCTCATACTACATGATTACCCTCTCTTTTTTATTTGAGGAAGACTTTCTCTGGTTAGTTTAGCACCTGGCATTAGCCTAAATTCTCCTTGGTGAATATAACAAAAAAGTAATTTTTACATACTTAGACTGGGCTTGTGACATCACACAGCAGATGTGGTGGAAAGCATCTTATGTTTGGCTCTTTGAGAACCAAGTTCAGGTGCTCGAGAGAAACGGGTGTGTGAGCAAATCAACTTAAAACTACTTTTCCCATCAGGGAAATGATTCGGTAATTAACAAAACAGTTTTTGTATGCGCACGTGTCCATCTTCTGAAATAACTTTCATGCTGTTTATGATTAACGCCAAGACACAAACTTTTTCAGGCTATAATTCTATGCACAAGACATTTATGAAACCATGGTAACACATCCACCTATACTGCCAGACTGAGGGACACATTTTCTCCAGAGTGCATGCACCACCTCCAGTCCTAATTAACTTTTATATAATACTGTTCTTGGTGTTGCTGTACATCAAACTCAAGGAGGAACATAAACAGCTAGACAGACAGCCACTGATGTATTGTCTGAAATTCCCTACGTGTGTGTGTGTGCGTGCACGCTCATGTCTTTGTGTGTCTGTCAGACTGTCTTCATGCCTGTCTGGTCTGTCTGTCTGGTCTGACCCTCTGTGTGTGGGGGGGGCTGGGGGTTTTCTGTACATACTTGCACTTCATACCTCCAAACAGAAAACAGGTAAAAGAAGCAAAGCAAAGCAGAGGAAAGTCAATGTAGGAAACCAGTGACACAGTGGGATGTATGGTTTGCCAGTCTCATGAATGTTACAATATTAGTCACAGCATGAAGTGCACTAACCTACATCAACATTACACTGTATTAGACACCCCCCCACCTGGGGGTTTTCTGCTCCTAGTGTTACACAGCACCAAATGAGCTCATTAGCTCACAGGGATTGCTGCAGCTGCAAGTGCAAGTTGTTGTTTAGAAAGTAGGTGTGCAGCATGCATAACATCAGTAGACTACACAGGCCAATCCCCTTCTGTGGACTGAGGCGCATTGAAGAGGTCAGCATAGTCCATCAACAAGAGGATTCAGGGGCAGAAACCGAGCCGCAGGGAGGGACATCATCATACTGTATAGCTGCGTTTTGCTATGTGTTCTATATCACCCTCCTGTACTCATGAATCCACAGAGTGTAAAGTGCTTGTCCACTCTGATCATGGTTTAACAAGATGCTTGTTGTGATGGGACTACAGATCTGCTGCTTCTTAACACCTACGACACATTTGTTGCTGTTCATCTATAAAACTAACAACTGAAAACAGAACCCAAAAACACAAACATCATGAGAAAAACACTAATCACAAGAATTCTTGAGCATTCGTTTAAAAAAAAAACAAACAGATATAAATTAGTAGCCTGCAAGCATTCACTGAAGGTTTGCACACATTGTGTTTGAAACAAATGATAATTACAATGGTGCAAGACTCACCATTATACATTACCAAAATACAAATCCTCATGAGTGTGCCAAAGTAATAAAGTATTAAATATTTTCCACATATGAGCTTATTTGCATATAATTTAAACATTTAATCAGTCACTTCTCACTTTTCATTTTTACTACACCATATTTCCCTAGAGTTTGAATTCAATTACTGGGCCACTTTGTTTATTTCTGTTTCTCTTGTTTTCAAACATGTAACTAAATTCACTCCCCAAGGGGTCACAGTAGAATAATGAAAACAACAACAGCAAAAAAAAAAATGTAAAAAAATTCACAGATCAGCAAATAGTCTTTAAATGTCAGCACGTAATTTAATGTACTTTGAACACGTAATACACAGAGAATGTGATGGCATGTCGTGAGGAACCATGTATTTGGGTTAAAGGATCTATATGAATTGTCTTTCAATCTACAGCGGAAAGTGACTGAAACACCGTGAATACGTGAACAACCAAGGAAAACGTGGATAATGTACGTGACAAAACCTGGAATACCTACAGTTAACTTTGAAGGGGTTGGTCTGTTTTCGCCTGGACATATTATTTAGCCCACTCCCGGTAAAAAAAAACAAAAAACAAAAACAAAAAAACACTGTAATCTCCTCCAAACCCCGGACGGTTCCACTGAGACGTGTCCAAGTGTATTCCGCACTGACAGGACAGGTGATGAACGAAATAATGGAAGTAAAAAAAAATCTCATCAAAATCTGTACTCGATCAGCAGAGTGGAGACCACCTGCGTGGTTAAGAAATAAAAACACGAATACGTTAAAGAGTCACATTCTTCCAGACGTTTAAAAAGCCCTGTTTCCGGTCGGTCCGGGGGTTTAAAATGATGTCCAAGCCCGAGCAGAGACACGCCGAGCATCCCGAGCTGCTCCGATCCCTCACCGCGCGCTTTACTCTCACTGCAGCGATGCACAAGCTCAGCTGATCTCCAATGTAAATGGAGCCACGCCGAAAAGGATTGCGGGATATGCATGGAAGCTGCTGAGTTCAAGTCGTGTGGGAGAAAAATCACTCGGGTAGCGAAAACCTCACACGCAATGCCTCGGTAATTTTAGAAGTCTGTCAAAGTAGACATGCTAAATATAGCTGAGTGCTTTGCTAAACTTTAGAATGTAAAATGTTCATGAGAGGAACATGTAATATTAGCGTCTAAAATAAGATGAATTAATTCAAACTAAACAATCTAATTTCGACATGTTGGAATATTTTAAACATAAGTGGAAGGAACTGCATAATAGTAAGTGAACCATTCAGTCACACGACTATGTTAATAGTGAATAATGAACATTCATGCTTAACTTCATGGACTCTTAAAAGTGCTAAAACCTGGCACCGTAACAGGTAAGGAGCTTATATTTCATTAGATTCATATCATATTCAATCATAAAATATTTTTGTAATAAAAAGTATTTCCTCAAGTATAACTCAAGCTTTGTCAAGAAAATATATTATAAATATGGACTTAAACACATTAAATCCACAGTAAATTAATGAATACTATTTATTCCCATGACTTTATGGAATTATACACTTGATTAATGAGTGATACTGTGCATTTAATTCTGAGTTGCAATGAGACTTAGAAGCTGTATATGGCTTCAAACTACATATTACTGCCTTGTAATGAGAAAGGAGTAAATGTTATATTGTGGTAGCCTGTAAGTTCCTTAGTAGATGACTTTTATGTTGCAAACATTGTGCAATAAATTAGGGCCTAAACAACAATATATCTGATAACAATGCAAAACACTAATGACTGCTTGACTTGTTTGTAAATGCAAATGTGACACTGTTTTTAAATTATCACAAACATATTTTGGCATTTCTGGTTTAATTTTCTTCCTTACTGGCTTAAAACATATACTACAAATACCTATATACTGTATCTACTTTAAAGCTACAAGCGCTCAGATATTGCGAGCTCTATTAGTCTGAATCTCAGTGGAAAATGTCAGCTCATTTAAAATCAAAACGTGTCTGTAGATCCAAGTAAAACTGTTGATAAAATGAATTATCTCCAGTAACCAGAAAATTGGATCTAGAAAGCAAATAAATGCCGAGAGCAGTGCTGTTTGTTCACCTAGATGATAAGCCTCTGGGCTGGCAGGTCAAAAATATGAAAAAGTGACTTGATGGGCGTGGACTTGAATAAACACTGGCAAAGTGTTGAATTAAGACTGACATTAGCAGTTATAGTCTTTCCAAGAAAAAAGGCCACATAAGACTGACAGCATTGTAGAGGAAACTAGCATCACACATCTGCATACAATTTTAAAACAACCCTGGTTATTTTTCTGACAGCCCAAAGATTTTGGTTACAGCTAACTGGCATGTTTTTCCAATCAGTTTCTATGTTTGATCAAAGCTGTATTTAAGTTCCATCTTAACTATATTTTATCCTTAATGTAAGCATTATCTGTATCCAAGAAAACCTTTATGGTGTTAGTTACTTAGACTTCAGAACAATTATTTAACAACTAATAAACCATTAATCAAACCCAACCTGCAGCATAATTTCTTCAGCAATATAGTAATAACACTAGGTGGCGCTCCGACTGCTAATGTCATAACATTACGTGCAGTAGTCATCACTGACTGCCACGAGTAAACGGACCGTAGCACGACATTGACAGCGTAAGAATGTATTCTTCCGCAAGGTTAAGGGAAAATATGCCATCTCAACAAAATAATCTCATCGTGTGATGAAATTTAAGTCGTTCGCATAACAAATGAGATAAAACAACGCACAAAATGAAAGCCATGTTACGCACAATAATTTAGAGTCAAACAACAAGTGAGATCAATAAGAAAACGTTAACATTAGCTAGCTGGCTAACAAACCTACGCTGGCCCTTTATTGTGGCTTTAAATGCAGGAACGATGGAAGAGAAGAGGCTTACTAGCTAGACAGCAATAAGCAAAGGATAAACAGAATTAAAAGTACTGCGATCTAGCTATATCTCTCATGATCATGAAGACACAATTCAACTATTACCCATGGTGTCCAGTAAACACTGGCATATCAGGTGGGAGCAACGCGCAGAGGCACAGACTGTGAAGAACTGCTCTGATTCAAGCTAATGTAACTGTACGTTGATGATAAACCTGAGCTCTGTGCGATTGTCAGTGCGCGCTTCTCCCACAAGCCTTTGGGATATGTCAGTGTAACCCTCCGCCTGCGGTAGATGTGCTGAGGCTGGAGTAGCCACCATTTTGCATGTCTAGTGTGTTCCTCCCTCCATTGCTAATAGAGACGATTCCAGTCATTCCTGGCATCATTACGGCTAGTAAGTATATTCTAGGAATAATATGTCGGTATAAATGGGTGAAATGTCTTTACGTGCGAGTAATCATCAGTGGTTTGATTGTATCTACGTTGACAGCCCTCACTGTGGCGCTGCATAGGAAGTCGCAGCCCTCAGTGCACCGGGGTTGTGCCTGTCAGCAGCTAAGTTAGCTAGAATGTTTAGCATAGACCTTTAGCTGTAGACTTGCTAACTATCTGCTGTGCCAGGGATGTGTGAAGCTCAGTAGACATTCATGTTGTGTGGTTGTCCACTTAGGCATAATCATCGTGGCAACGTGCAACGTCAAATTTGTGTTTTATATCCTTCTAGTTAGCTAACACAAGCACGGTTGGCCTTTTAGTTCAGATAGTATTTGGATTAGGTAATACTGACATAAACGAGTGGTCAGGTGGTTAGCTAACGCCACAAAGGACTCGCTAGCTTCATAATCCAAATGTTTCAAGAAGGCCTACACTGCATCATGTCCTGATCAGTCGGCGATCAGCTGTAATGGCCGTTTGTTTCAGTTAGACAATATTGTCTAATGCTGTTCATGTTCATCTTATTTTAATGAAACGTCAGTCAAGGTGAAGCTACTGCTGTACTATGTTGCACATATTCTGAAAATACAAGGGTATACGTTACTAGTGTTAGCTGACTTTTGCTTGGTGTAAAATGCGTCAGCGAAGTCACATTAATCCCCTGACTTCTGGCTCAGACCTCCCTAATAATTGAACATATGCCATCCCTCATAAAAACACACTGTACAGGACAGTTGAAAGCTGCTGAAAAAAGCAAATGAGTGGACCTTGAGTTGGGAGTGTTTTGTTAAATCATAAAACATTTGTGTA